AAACATATAATATTAACACAGTGAAACAGTATTATTGCATTGAAACAGTATTATTACAATGAAACATAGCACTAACATATGGAACATATAGTATTAACACAAACATACAATATTAACACAGTGAAACATGTAGTAATAACACAGTGAAACATAATATTAACACATGGAAATTTAGTATTAACACTGAAATATAGTATTAACACTGTGAAACATATAGTATTAACACAGTGAATAGTATTAATATATGGAAACAGTATTATCACATGGAAACATAGTATTAAGAAATGGAAGCATAGTATTAATACTGAAACAGTATTAACACAGTGAGATAGTATTAACACTGAAACATATAGTATTAACACAGTGAGATAGTATTAACACTGTGAAATATAAAGTACTAACACAGTGAAGCATAGTATTCAACACATGAAGGCAGTATTAACACATCTGAAACATATAGTATTAATACATTGAAACATATAGTATTAACACGGTGAAACATGTGGTATTAACACAAAGAAACTTAGTATTAACACATTGAAACTTACTGTATTCACATTGTAATGTAGTATTAACACATTGAAACATATAATATTAATACAGTAGTTGGGAACCAATGCTGTGGACTGATTATGTACCAAACTGCTTATAGTAACAATGTCAACAAATTGCATGTATGTTATGGGTGGGGGAAATAAACAAAATGCCTGTCCAGCTGGTTTTAGTTTATGCAAATTAAATATCCTTTTTCACTTTATGATATTTATGCATTTGATATTTTCAAATAATGTTTTAGAAAGGGAAAGATATAATACTAAGCTTAAAACATTTCTTTCATAGCATATTGCAGCTGATTGGCCAATTCAAGTACAATGGTTTTATCTTGGTCTTTAGGTTCATAACATTATGTTGACTCCAGAATCACATTATAATGAATGGTGTTATAATGAGGGAGATTTATATTGGATTTTAAAGGCTTTGTTCTTATAGGCAACCACATGAGGGAAGGCCTAAGTGTATGTGAAAAAAATAACTTGGAAAAATGCTTGCTCCGTTGTCATAGTGAAACTTGTCGTTGATGAATTTAACTTTTCATTGTTGATATCCAGGACACTGTAGTCCCAAAAGTAAGCCATCTACATGAAATAATAACAGCTACTTACGCAGACGATTAATTAGTATCCAATGGTAAAGTTTTCCTTATTTTGTTTATTTTCATCTAAAACACATCAAACAGACTCAAATATGCTTTACACTAATTATTTTTATGCTAATCATCTTTACACTAATCATCTTTCCACTAATTATCTTTCCACTAATTTTATTTACACTAATTGTCTTTACACTAATCATCTTTGCACTAATTATCTTTACACTAATCATTGTTACACTAATTATCATTATGCTAATCATATTTACACTAATTATCTTCATGCTAATCATATCTACACTGATCTTTACACAAATTATCTTCATGCTAATCATCTTTATACTAATTATCCTTAATTATATTTACACTAATTATCTTTACATTTATTGGCTTTACACTAATCATCTTTACATTATTCATCTTTACACTAATAATCTTTACACTATCTTTATGCTAATCATCTTTACACTAATTATCTTTATACTAATCATCTTTACACTAATTATCTTTGCACTAATTATCTTTATGCTAATCACCTTTACACTAATTATCTTTGCATTAATTATCTTTAATTATCTTTACACTAATTATCTTTAATTATCTTTACACTAATTATCTTTACACTAATTATCTTCACACTAATTATCTTTACACTAATCATTTTTACACTAATCAACTTTACACCAATTATATTTGCACTAAATATCTTTCGACAAATTATCTTTAAACTAATCATATTTCTACTAATTATCATTACACTGATTGTCTTTACACTAATCATATTTCCACTGTCTTTACACTAATCATACTTCCAAATGTTAACTTTACCCTAATTATTTTTACACAAATTATCTTTAAACTAATCATATTTCTACTAATTATCTTTACACTAATCATATATCCAATAATTATCTTTACACTAATCATATTTCCACTAATTATTTTTACACAAATTATCTTTAAACTAATCATATTTCCACTAATTATCTTTACACTAATCATATATCCAATAATTATCTTTACACTAATCATATTTCCACTAATTATATTTACACAGATTGTCTTTACACTAATTATATTTCCAGTCTTTACACTAATCATACTTCCAAAAGTTAACTTTACACTAATCATATTTCCACTAATTATCTTTACACTAATCATATATCCAATAATTATCTTTGCACTAATTATATTTACACTAATTATCTTTACACTAATCGTCTTTACACTGATTTTTATGTACTAATTAATTTTACAATAATTTTCTTTACACTAATCATCTTTACACTATCTTTACACTAATTAGCTTTATACTAATTATCTTTACAATAATTTTCATTACACTATTTATCTCTACACTAATTATCTTTACACTAATTACCATTACACTATTTATCTCTACACTAATTATCTTTACACTAATTACCATTACACTTTATCTCTACACTAATTATCTCAACAATAATTGTGTGCACTAATTTATTTTATACTAATTATCTTTATAGTAATTATCTTTGCAACAATTATCTTTATACTAATTATCTTTACATTATCATTAAACTGAATATCATTTCATTAATTATCTTAATGCTGATTGTCTTTACACTAATTATCTTTACAATAGTTATCTTACTGCAATTATCTTTACACTGATTATCTTTTCAGTAATTTTCTTTACAGTAATTATCTTTAATCTAATTGTCTTTACACTGATTACCTTTACATTAATCATCTTTACACTATCTTTACACTAATTATTGTTACACTGATTATCTTTATAGTAATTATCTTGACACTGATTATCTTTACATGAATCATCTTTACACTATATATCTTTACATTATTGGTATGCCAATCATCATTACACTAATAATCTTTACACTAATTGTCTTTACAATGATTATCTTTACACTGTTTATCTTTACACTGTTTATCATTACACCAATTATCTTTACACTAATCATCTTTACACTACCATTATACTGATTATCTTTACATTGATTATCATTAAACTAATTATCTTTATGCTAATCATCTTGACACTAATTAAATTTATGCTGATTATTGTTACACTAATCGTCTTTACACTAATTATCTTTTCACTAATTATCTTTATATTTATGTAGAAACATACAAAAACTGTTTTTGCTTTTGGAATCTTCTGTTTTGAGGGAAAATTATCGATTAAAGAATCATCATTGTCATAGTAATTACCATTTTGATACCTAGTGATGATGATAATGACAATAATAATGGCAATGACAATCATAATGATGATGGTAATGATTATTACAAAATAGCAATGATGATGATCATAATAATAATAATGATGATAATGAAAGTGATAGTGGCAGTCATGATGATGATGATGATGATAATGATGATGATGATCTTTTTCAATTTTATGATAACAATTCAATGCATTCATGTTCATTTCAGGTACCTTGATAGGAAATACAGATACAAAACACTACACCAAGCTGAGCAATAATATCTACAGATTCAGTCCAACGTTTATGTTTCAAGAAGATGTACCACGTTTTCATGGAAACAATGAAAGAATTTCCATCAAGAATTATGAACAAGCTATAAACTTTTACTATCATTTAATGAGAAATTCCGACAAAGAAAAATTGACACCATCACATTCTCACGGAGAACTCTGATACTGTTCTTACGGTAGCCATTCCATGCACTCCATTGCAACTGTAACACAATTTATTCACAAATGTTCTAAAAATAATGTGCTTGGAGACATTGTACAAAATAAATGTGGAAAAATTTTAAAATGTAGTAGAATCAGACTGACTACAAGTTCAAATTAAAAACATTAAAATATATAAAAGAGAAAGAGAGAAACTTGATTATGACTTCTGACAACTTTAGTTTAGTTATTTACAGACAAAACTTGTGGATAACAAAAATATTCAATATATTTCAATATATTTTTAATGAATGAATGATTGAATGAATGAATCAGTTTCACTGGTTCTTAGGCATTTATTTTGTTTCCATTAAATATACAAATGTGAATATTATTTTATAAAAAATAAAAATGTTACAAATATTGATTTACATATTTCACTTTTGTTTAATTTTTTAATTATTGCTACCTGTCATAATGTCAATAACTTGATCCTCAAGTTTACATGATACATTGTAGTCTAAAATAAGTTTACACCTGATGAATTACGTAGGATAATTACAGATAAAGTAATTGTTACATCTTTCATCTGGTATTTAAGTATAAATTTGTGTAAAAGCTGTAAAATTTATGAAATACTAAAACACACAAACTAAATATGACCTTCCGGATTTGATAATTTGCAAAAATTACAGGCAGTAATGTTTAACATGACAATGATGTCCATGAGCCAGTCATTGATTCACCTCATACATGAGCCAATTATCAGTGTTCCTTGTACATGAGCCAATCATTGGCTCACTTTGTACATGAGCCAATCATTGACTCACTTTGTACATGCTCCAATCATTGGCTAATCATTGACTCACCTTATGCATGAGCCAATCATTGGCTCACCTTTTACATGAGCCAATCATTGACCAATCATTGACCTGCCTTGTACATAAACCAATCATTGATTCACCTTTATGAAGTAGAGAATAACTATTTTAGTACTCCTGGTGTTTATATCAGCATCCACAACAACATGTATACATACAGTATCGCTGAACATTGCTATTCTTTCTTTGATATCCTTGGCCACAGACTGGAGTGAGTTTCACAGCAACTTTCCCATTGTGATAAGTGCTGACATTTTATGTGTTCATTATTTGTCCATTTGGTTTGTCTTTTCTACATTTAGCTCATGACAAGATAGTTCCTGCTGACTTCTTCAGTGGTCCAGTGGTTAGAGCATCCGCCTCAGATGCGGGAGGTCGCAGGTTAAAACCCCGGCTAAGTCATACCAAAGACTCTAAAAAATGGTACTAACAGCTGCCTCGCTTGGTGCTCAGCATTAAGAGGTTAGTGTTAGGACTGGTCAGCCTGGTGTCAGGATAATGTGACTGGGTGGAACATCATGCTACATGTCTTAAGCATTAATGCCAACAATTCTCCAATGCACAAGTGATGAAAACAGTGGTGGAAATGGAATGGGTACAAAACAGATTTTTTCTACTTTATTAATAAAATATAAGAATCCCTCCATTGATAATAATCATACAGAAACAATCATCTGTTTATGTTAAATTTCCATAATAAGGCATACCTTGGTTGTTGTTGTTGTTGTTGGGCTTAACGCCATTTTTCAGCACACGATAGGCTATTCATGGTGGCCAGTATTAATGGTGGAGGAAGAAACCAGGATATCACCGGAAAGAACCACCGACCCACGAGAAGCTACTGGCAAGCTTTCCCACATATCCACATTCGCCGAATCCTAGACTCGAACACGCGCAAACAGAGGTGAGATGGCAGTGATCCGTAATGGACAGCGCTTTAGACCACTCGGGGCCCCTGGCATACCTTGGTATTCTGCTGTTAACTTCAGCCCAATCTGACCTTCAGTCTATAAAAAATTGGTTTTGTGAAGATTTTCATTTTTCTGGAATAATTCTGAAACCCATGATCTACTTCCATGTTTGCCAAGACAAAGCAGAATTTTCTTCATAATCCTAGCTGCTTTTGGAGAATAGAATTTATATTCATTGTTTTATGGCTGTGATTTCATTAAAACTCTAAATAAAACAATCTTCTTACAATGTGGATCTACCAATGTTCACAATTTATACTTGTGAAATATTTATTATTTTACAATATTTTAAAAAAACAATTTCTGTACTGTCACAGACTAGAACCATAAGGAAAATAAATATTGTAAATAGTTGCCAACATTAGGAAAATTTGGGTTTCGGTCTTAAATGCTTCATTTTTTATCTATTTAAAATGACACAATTCTCAGTTACTCCAGGAAGGAAAGGGGACAATGAATGTTTAAGAATTTAGACTTGTTAGCCAATTAAAGGTTGTCCAACAATCACAAACCTTGAATTTTTATTTATTAGCCAATGAAAGACTGTCCAACAATAATGAAGCTTGAACTTTGACTTATTAGCTAATGAATGACTATCTAACAATCACCAAGCTTGAAATTGGACTTATTAGCCAATGAAATACTGTCTAAGAATCATGAAGCTTGAATTTAGATTTATTAGCCAATGAAATACTGTCTAAGAATCATGAAGCTTGAACTTGGATTTATTAGCCAATGAATGACTTTCTAAGAATCACCAAGCTTGAACTTTGACTTATTAGCCAATGAAAGACTGTCTAAGAATCATAAAGCTTGAACTTGGACTTATTAGCCAATGAAAGACTGTCTGGCAAACTGTCAGTGGAACATGGATTTCACTTCACAGTGTCTGAAAACTGATCTAACCTCAAAAATGAACTGGACGGACGGATGGATAAGATTGGCATTTATATGTACAACTGTTTTAGTGTAACATAAAAAACAAATGGCTGTGGACATGTGCTACTTATCTCACTTTGCTTTTTTCAATAAGATAAACAACTAAAGCACACAGATATTATAATTTTATTCAAGTCTAGACAAAACTACATTTGGTGGAATTAAAAGTTACATAATATCCCTTAAATTAAACTATGTGCATGTCAATAGACCTAGAGAGTTGCTCCACATAATTAAAGAATGCTGGAGCTCATAACATTTTGGAATAAAAAGATACATTCAGAGCTAAAACAGTGTAAAGTTTGCACAATTTCTTAGAAATGCAGAGAAACACTAGTTTGATAAATCAGCCCCAAATCTGTACTGGTACACTGGTGGTTTGGAGTCTATTCACAAACTCATAAAACAATGAAATTATTGCAGGCAGATCTGTACACAATACATCAGTGCTCATATCAAACATTTTTAGACATAGATAGTTTCTATGGCTCTTGAATTCTGAATAGTTGATTGGACCTTTTGGTGATGTTTATTTTTCATATCCAATTCAATGCCTGAAAATTTGTATATACACATGTCGACTACCTGTAGTTTCATTTGCAAATTACCTGGCTTCACTGCCAGATAACTAACTCCAAAATATTGAGTGAACAATCCCATGTAACTTCATTCAAAATGGTTGTTTTGGTCTTGTGATGAGCATCTGCAGATTTGTCATGTGACAGTCATGTGACAAATATCTTTTGATATGACTTTCATCACAATTCTGCAATATCAACTGGAATTCAAGAGCCACAGGAAATGCAAGTATCTAAAAATAGGAGCTCTGATGTAGACTGGTCTGTCTGCAATAACTGCATGGTTTTATCAATAGGTAAGATGAGAACCCTAACCACTAACATGCCAATACAGGTATGGTGGCTAATTTATTGGACATTAAGCAGTTCATTATATGAAACCTCTGAGTGATTTATATACATATACATACATGTTTTGTGATAGCTACCTAGAAAAGATTTAAAACAGAATACACCATGTGCTTAGGGCTGTTGCAGTAAGATGGACTCAGGGACGGCACTTTATATGTAGAATAGTGACCCATAGATGCAATTTAGAATTTTATATCGTTTTCAGATGAACTCTGGGTAGTCTGAGTACCTGGGCATATATTTTTTAAATAGTGCCTTCCCTGGGTACCTTGTATGTTTAAATGGAATAGCCCTTAGTGTCCTGGTTGTCATGTATGTTTAAATGGAATAGCCCATATGTCAGCAAGTTCTACGGAAATAAGGTCATATTGCATTTTGTATTTCTTTGTTACAAGTAGAATGCAATCATAAAAATTTCAACCATTACACGCACCAGCCAAAACAAAAGCTGAGCATGCATATGTACTTAAAAAACAGTATGCATTAAAATTACCCGTTGTTATATAAAGGTAGAATTTTTAAAACTTTCAGTAAGAAAAACTGTCCATCATCATTGCAGACTTAACAACACTGTATAAATACATAAAACTATAAATGCAATTTTTTCTTTTAAAAAAAATAGATTTAAAAATTGGCAATAATAATATAATATGAAAGTATATATTTAATTTTTATATTTTGTAAACTTCAAAAAAAATTCCATATTTAGCTGTCAACATTTAGAGTTAGCTCCCTCTTTCTTTCTCACACAATCACACACATGCAGACAGATAAAACAACTGATACAAGATATCCAGCCATTATTATATAACGATATCTCTTCCTGTTGATAAACTTCATTACTTCCTGTTGATAAACTTCATTACTTTTTTGTACTTATAATCTGTGTAAATGGCGAAAAACAAAAAACTCAACCCACTGGATCCAAACACTACCCTCTGGAGGGTTTTGTGGATCTTTTTTTCAGCCTACCTACTGTTGAGAAATATAAAGGAAAAAAAATTTTGACTATAACTTAAAGACCCCAAATGAACAGATTTCAACTTGGGCTAAATATTCACTGCAACAAAAAGACTACAAGTCAACAGATTATAACAGAGGCTAGAGTTTGGCCTGTAACTCAAAGACCCCAAATCAACAAATTCCAATAGGGGTTAGATTTTGACTAACTGAAAGACCCCCAAATCAACAGATTCTAACAGGGGTTATTTTTTGACTAATGGAAAGACCCCAAATCAGCAGATTCTAAAGGGGGCTAAATTCTGACTGTAATTCATAGACCTCAACTCAAGAGATTCTATCTTGGTTTACAAGAAAGTTTCATATCCTAAAGTTTGCAAAAACTTTTAAAACAGATCTGAAGTAAGTGTTGTGCATACAAATTTTAAAAAATATATTTGGAAATAGTGACCTTGACATTTAACCTGTGACCATTCAGTAGTCAAAATAAGGCTTTAGAACTAATTGAAGATAAATTATTATGTAACTGAAAGCTATTCATGGAATCCCTAATAATCAACTGCAATGTAAGCAAAGTTGCTTTTTACTGGGGTACTGTGATATAGACAAAGTTGCATTGTACTAGGGTACTGTGATATAGGCAAAGTTGCCTTGTACTAGGGTACTGTGATATAGGCAAAGTTGCCTTGTACTAGGGTACTGTTATATAGGCAAAGTTGCTTTGTACTAGGGTACTGTCATAAAGGCAAAGATGTCTTATACTGGGGTACAGTGATATAGGCAATGGTGTCTTGTACTGGGGTAACTGTAAAATAAGCAAATCTGCCTTGTACTGGGGGTGTTGTGATATTGGCAAATTTGTCTTGTACTGGGATACACTGATATAGGCAAAGTTGCTGTGACTCACCAGTAGAGGTGTTCTGATGTTCAAGTAAGAAGGATATATTAAGGTGCTATATTAATATAATTTTCAGTTCAATACAGCAACTAATGGAAAAAAATGTTGACTTTCAAAAACTTCTACAAAACATTGTAACACTGCTGCAGCTGTAGTCACCTGAGGGTTTAAAAAAATGGTCACTAACTTGAAAGCTATTCAAGGCATCCCTAATAGTCAACTGCAATATAAGCAAAGTTGTCTTGAACTGAGGTACTGTGATATAGGTAAAGTTGCCTTGTTATGTAATGTAAGCAACATTGCCTTGTACTGTGACATGGCAAAGTCCCCATGTACTGTTATTTAGGCAAAGTTGCCTTGTATTGGGTTCTGTGATATAGGCAAAGTTGCCTTGTACTGGGGTACTGTGATATAGGCTAAGTTGCCTTGTACTGGGGTACTGTGACATAGGCAAAGCTGCCTTGTTATGTAATGTAAGCAACATCCCTTGTACTGTGACATGGCAAAGTCCCCATGTACTGTTATTTAGGCAAAGTTGCCTTGTACTGGAATACTATGATATAGGCAAAGCAGCACTTTACTGGGCTACTGTGATATTGGCAAAGTTGTGCAACTATGATATAAGTAAAGTTGCACTATACTGGGGTAATGTGATATTGGCGAAGTTGTGCCATATACTGGGTGGGGTACAGTGATATAGGCCAA